TGTGTGTGTGTGTGGTTGATGGTGGTACTAGAGACTAAAATCAGGGGTCCTGCCCTAGTTGCTAATCCCTGGGTGGCTAGGTCTGAGTGACAAGTGCCAATGGCTGTTAACATTCAAAAGAAAGAAAGACAGCCAGGCAATATGAGCCTTCAGGTATAGCATCTATCATCACCTAAGAAAGTTGGCAATTGATATATATTTTAATATAATTTTATTATTATTTTTATGTGGTACTGAGGATTTGAACCCAGGGCCTTATGCATGCAAGGCAAGCACTCTACCATTAAGTCACATTCCCAGCCCAATAAATAAGTTTAGTAAACATATAAAACATTCATTTCCTCAAGTCTGAAGGTCTAATTATCAACTTAGAGGAATACAGACTAAATAACACAGCAGAGATGAAATCATCACAAATTGAGCTGTGAGGAAAAAATGGGCAAAGGAGCACAATTTCTTCAGCACACAAAAAAGTGCACAGAATTCTGAAGAAGAAATCTATAGATTTAAAGGTACTCAAGAAATATAAACCAACCCAATATGTGTACCTTATTTGGATCCAGATTCCCACTAACAAATTGCCTCCCCAAAAAAAAAACAAGTGAACAGTGACCATATGTTAATTATTTTAAGAAACTGCAGTAACTGTGTTGTGAAAATGGCATTTTAAGAACTCCTTTTATTGATACTTATTGAAATATTTGCAAATAAATTATATGATACCTGACATTTGCTTTAAGATAATATGGGAGGGGAGTAGGTAGGGCTGTGTATTAACAAACTGCCCATAGGTTGACAATTGCTGATAGTGGGTAATGGGAACACATGGATTCATTAAATTATTATTACTTTTGTATAGTTAGAAATTATCTATATAACACAAAATTTTATAACAAAAATCTTTTTGGAAAACTACTTTTAAGGTTTATGAAGTTCTGTGAATGGTAAAGGTGTTTGCAAATCTGAATATGCAACAAAAATATTTCTGCTACAATATAATGAAGGATTTTCTTATCTGAAATAAAATGTTTAAACCAAAACCTCAATCAATACTATAGCTCAAACTCCTTTTGGAAAGTACTGGGGTTTGAACTCAAGAGGCTCATGCTTACTAGCCAGGCAATCTACTATTGAGACACATTCCCTCTTTTTTGCACTAGTTATTTTTGAGATTGGGTCATACTTCCTGTCCAGGAACATCTGGACTGCAATTAACCTATTTTTTGGCTTCCTGCTGAGATGACAGATGGATACAACTGTGTCCAGCTTCTGCTGAGATGAAGTCTCACCAATTTTCTGCCCTGGCTGGACTAGAAACATGATCCTTCAAATCTCAGCCTCCCCTATAGATAGGATGGCAGGCACACACTACTGCACCTAGCTTTGAATGGGTCTCAGGTATACGCCCAGGCTGGCCTCAAACTTCAATCCTTCCAATCTCAGCCTTTCAACAATTTGCTAGGATTACAGGTGCAAGCCACTAGCACCTGCTACTATAATTCCTTTAATAGACAAGATTATGATGAACAAAGATTATGCTAAACAAAGGTATGGAGGTTGTCCTAACCAACTGCCATATGTAAAAATACATCAGAGTAAGAAAAATCAAGCTCCAGCAATTTTTACCTGTTATTGAAAGATAAAAATGCTCTTTGAGTAATGTTTATCAAGCACTTACTAAACACCTACCATGTTTTATACACAGTTATGGCATATAACTCCTCTGTAAGAGTCAATCATTACTATACAAAGTTCAGGAACTTCCTCAAGTGCTTTCTTGAAGAAGAAATGTGAAATACGCAAATGCCAAATAATCATGCGCACTTATAGAGGTAAGGGTGTGTGTGTGTTTGTGTGTGTGTTCATGTTTTAAACAAAAAGATGTTTACATTGCACACAATGTTCTCTAATACTCAAATACAGATTTTTATCTATCTTTAGAAGCAATAGTCTAACATCTGGCAGCACTTAAAAGAATATTGATATGATGCCACTGTGACCTCTAAAAATTACAAATATGGTACAAACATTAGATTTTAACTTATCCCCAGAGTCATATATTAAGTAAGCAATCTCTGAGGAAAAATTAACTGGAATTTACAGAGTACTACGTAGGCTGGTCAAACAACCTACTTAACAAAGTACATTTTAGCTCATAGTAGAAAAAAAATCTAGATCCCTTTTGTACATTAGCTACATTTTGCATCGCTAATTTCAGGCAAAAATAAATATGCATTTACTATAATTTAAAGTTATCACTGAGGGGAAACACGGTGAGGTATACTTGTGCCCTTCCTATAATTTTATGTTGATTTTTTAAAACTTCCTGTGAATCTGTATTTATTTCAAAACAAAAAAAAGATTTTTCAAAATGTAAAGCACATCAAAAGTACTAATGCTATTCGCTGGGGATAGTGAATAAACAAATTCACTCTAGAATGAAAGCTGCTGCTTATACAAATCCCACTAGTTTCCATAATGTCTATAGGTGATCTGATTATATTTGTTTTCACATAATCATATGCTGAAACAAGTTCACATATAAATCCTGTCAGAACACTTGAGAAAGGCTATTTTTCTCTTTCAAGAGATTGCTTCCATTTGGAGTAAACTACAGAGACATAATTCTCACATTTACCTTTCCATGAAACCCTTTGTGACCACACCTTCCCCTAGAAAATGTAGGACTAGCATCTCTGTCTTTATAAACCACTCTTCCTCAGATGTCAGCTCCTAAATTTCTAGGAATATATGTATTCCCTTTCTGTCATAGTAAGCTTGCAGACAACAAGGGATTTAAACTTTATCTCGGGATCTTCAGCACCTCAGAAAGCATTTTAGTAACAAATAGAAGCTTAAGAGATATTGAACAAATGAAGAATCAAAGGAGGAAAGAGAGAAAGAAGAGCAGATATATGAATATAGTCAGGTAGATGGAGAGATGGGCCTTCTTTTCCTGAACTATAAAAAAGCCCTTCTGTTTTTATCAGAAGCATCCATCATAAACTAAGCATGGCTGCTGAAACCATTGGACTATCTTAATCCTGAACCTGAAGGCTAATAATTGAATGATGACAGGCAGGTAAAGAGAAGTCAGATGGCTGAAAAAACCATTCTACTCAGCCTCCCAATCTCCCTGCACCACTAGCATCACATGCTTTGAGCTGAGAGTCCAAGCAGGGTCAGCTGTCTGTTACTGACCCAGAACAGGTAGGAGACAACATATTTCAACAGCTCTGGAACTACAGGAGGCATTTATTCTTCTCTGACTCTCCAGCTCTGAGAACACATAGCTAAGACAAAAGGTCACCAAGAGGTCAAGGCTCTACCAAAATTTCCCAAATTTCCTTTTCTGTATCAGGAGACTCGTTAGAAAGTAATTTCCAAACATAGACAAGATGCTTCAATGGCCAGAGCATCCATCAATGAGGAAAACAGCTTCCAAACAGCTGAACACTAACCAGTTATATCCACAGTGTCCAATTAGACAATGACCCAACTGTCATCTGGATTAACAATGAGAACTACCATTTATTGAGGGCCTTCTATGGGTAAGGAGATTTAAACCCATTCTTGTTATTGGAACTCAGAATGCATTTCCACATGGAAATAAAGTTATAATGACCCAATTTGGTCCTTCCACCAAAAAAATCACATTTAATCCACAATGTCCTTGAGGTACAGTACTGTTATTATAGTACCTGATTACCAGGTATGATACCAGTCTAGAGTTCTAATATGAATTGGAGCAAGAGGTGCAATAGCAGCTCCAACTGGCATACTCATTCACTGGAGAAAAAACAAGCCTGCAGCCCAAACCAAAGAAGGCAACAGGAGCTCCAAGATACTTCATTTGCTCCCAAAGCACTTCCAGGTCCTTCCCATCATAAACTCTAGGATGGATAGGAATTCAAGGAATGAGGGCTCTACGCCTTGGCAGTGGAGGGAAGGGGTGCTGCTGAAGCTACTGAACTACCTAACTCACCAGGAGAGTCATTTCTATGCACGTCAGACTGAGGATGCAGAGCTGTAGAGACAACCAAGCAAAGGAGGTCATCTGAGCACTTCCCTGGAAATGGCTTTACTTCCGAGCCAAGCATTTAAATCATGCTACTCACGAGAGAAAAAAGACACCAAGCCAACATAAGAACATCACTGAAGTCAAGCTGTTCCAAATGGAAACTAACGACATTGAACAATTATTTTGGCAACTGAGCTGTACTTTCCTCCTCTGTCAGGAAGGAGAGTCAGCAACCCCAGGTGCTGCACCACTACAACACAGTGGAGCCTCCGACAACAGTCATGCCTATGACCTTGGCTCGACATGGCACAAGATAAAACAGAGACACCCACATGGAAAGGTGGGTTAGCCACTGGGAGAACAAAGCTTCCCGGTCCTGACCTTTTGCTCCATGAGCTGGAAAGGGCAGCAGAGAAGCTGGAGGGAGACTTTCGGGCCCTGGAGAAAGAAAGACCTGAAGTTCGATCTCACCATCTCAGAAGACAACACAAACTTACCCAAGGTGGGGGCCTGGATTCTCAGTCATCATGTTATATTTCCAAGGGAACTGGCATGCACTTAATTTTGCACACAGCACTTCTTGCCACCAATGCATTTTTTTTGTTGATACTTTTCTCCAAGGTCCTTATGGGACAGTGAGAAATACTATCGCATTGGGTTCATTTAAAAGGTAATTACGAATTCAATAGTAAACAATATTCTAGAAGTGCATGGAGGCACAGCAACATGGGCCACTCATGAAACATTACTTCCATGGCAAACCATAGGCCAGCAGTAACGTATCCAGAAATGTATAGACTGTATGGCTACAGGTCCCAGCTTTATAAATCTACTAAACTGCAATGGGTCAACATAGCACAACCCAGAAAACATCCAAGAGTGTTTGTCATAGTCTTGCAGCATAGGGCATAGTACAGAAAGGAAGCTGGGGCAGTCCACTGGTCCCCCTTTTCCTGTTTAGTAGGATGGATTTCCTTACTTGACTTGGAAAGCTGCTCATCCTGGGAAATGCCAAGCTCATCCGACTCCCCTGACAGCTCCTTGATGAAGTTGGAAGGAAACATTCCAGTCTTTCCATTGAGAACACCTTCCCACCATCCTTCCTCTACCTGCAGAGAAGCAAAGAGAAGAGTCAGATATTCTTCAATCTGTATGGCATGGAATGGAGCCCACCAATGGACAGAGAGAGGGACCCAAAGCTGAAAAGTTACCAGGGAACCAGAAAGCAGGCCACATAATCTTGAGATTTCAGACTAAGGAAAGGGAGGTAATCACAAACACCAATGGACAAAACTTAACACTATTTTCACTCACCTCTAACTAAACCAAAGCCCTTTCCTCTATCTATATAATAAAGTTAATTAACACAATTCACACATGTTATGTGTGTTATGTTTCTATACCAGTGCCTGTATGGGACATGTCTTTATTCTTCCTGAAGAAAATAACAATCTACCAAAACAGAAAGGTATGAATAGAAAACTAGTGATGCGAGGTAAACAGAGGAGAAAATACCATGACTTAGCACGAAATCAAACTTGTTACACAAAGCAGAGCTCAGTGAGACCCAAGAAACTAAAGGCTTTGAGAAAAGAGAAATCAAAATTAAGATAGGCCTTGAAGGAAGGAGAAACAATAGCTATGATTGGAGAACAGGCGTATGAGACATTCCAGAAGGGGACGGGAGCTGATGAAGCCTTTGGAACAGAGACAATCAGAACAGTATGTTTAGAGCATTTGTTAGGGAACTCATGGGATAAACTTGCAGAGTAGTGATCATGTTTGTACAACCACAAAATCTTAAGGGAAAGAATGCAGATAGCAGCTCTATATGCATGATTGTCCCAATGACTATTCAGTATCAACTTGTACATTCAATAGCATTTACATTGATTGGCATTTCCATGTGTCTATGCCAACCCAAGGGATATATATGTTATTCTCTCAAGGAGCTTTTTTTGTAGAATTCAGATGGTTAGAAAGGTTTGCTATGGGTCTGAATATCAAAAGTTACAGAATTTGTAGCATGGGGTCCTTTGTGCTGGTCCTGAATAAGTAACCTCAAAATCACAAGGCAGGAGAAGAAAACCAAGGGCAGGAACCACAAATGAGCCATCTGTGGTCAAATCCTTGGCTGTGCAGGGCAGCTAGAGCAATCCCATGCCATTCAATTTGATGATGTCTGAAATGTTCCCAGTAATAAGCAGTCTAGCCCCAGATCCTGGAGGGAAGTGCATCTGATGTGTAAGATCAGTGGCTGCCTGCTGGGAAAACAGGGGTATCTTCACCTAGCCACACCCCCAGATGCCTGTATCACTGTCAAAGAACAGTCTGTGAGGCCTACGGGAAAGCAGCAGAGATCTATCATTAGCTACACAACAAATGGAGGGGCAGACAACAAAACCATGGCTCATCGCCTGGGGGCACACTTCCCATCAAAGGCACCACAGGCCCAAGGCGTGTTTCTTTGTGAGGTGAGCCCTTCATGGTGGAGGAGAGCCTGGCCCCAAGACCAAAGAGTGCTGTTCTGTGCTATTTCTTCTTACAGCCTGCTGTTTTGGTCTCAAGATTGTGCCTGGAGGTAGGAGAAAAATGATTCTTGCTGACACAGTATCTCATTTGAGGGATATTTTAGTTCAACTTCTGACATAAAGGCAAGGACATTTAAAGACCCAACTAATGATATTCCTTTCTTCCTTCATTCATTCCAGGAATAAAGCACAGTACCGCATACTGAATGAACAAGGAAATAAACAACATGGAGATCATTGGGAGAAGTCCTCCATGGTATCAAGCTCTGATTTGTCCCACAAAGGATATTTTTCCCTTCCTGTGAGAAACCAAGGGCACCAACAGACCAAGACTATACTGTCACCTGTGTGTGTGTGTGTGTGTGTGTGTGTGTGTGTGTTTGTGTGTGTGTGTGTATACACATGCTCCTGTGGTGTTAGTGAACAAATCCAGGCCTTGTGCAAGTACCTACCCAACTTTGCCACTATTCTGAATTAGTTCTGCTATACCCAGGCCTGAATGGTTGTCCCAGTGCCACCAATCCCACCAATGTTTAATGAGCATCTATCCTGTACTTCCCCATGACCTCTTGATAATTCACTGGTGAAGAAAACAGATAAAAAAGACCCCATCCTGGAATAGCTTCTGTAGCAAAAAAGGAATTGGCAGAGCTTGTACACCTGCTTAGAAATCAAGTTGATTTATGGTGATGTTTCTGCATTTAAGGAGGAAAAGAAATGTGTCTTCTTTGTAATAAAGTACTAGAGTTTAGAGGCCTCAAAAGACTTACAACTTCTGCCCTCAGGAAAGCAATAAAAAGGGTCAGGTGCCACCTTGTCCTACAACCACACAACCCTACACATAAATAGTCTTGTTCTCACCGTGGCTCTAGGATGAGAACAAACCTTACCTGTGTCCCTCTCTGACCAATCTGGCCACCTCTACAATCTGTGCCCCAAGGCAAATCCTGCCTATGGCCAGAACTGGGAGCAGGGTAGCTTCCACATGGTGCTGTTAGAGAAAGGCCAAGTAAAACCACTTATACCGTTTATAGCCTGGCAATTTCCATGCCTTTAGAATCAATAGCATCTAAGTAGGTTCAGGGCCCAAGAAAGTGTGTTTTTTTAAATCTTAGCCCTGGTGGAAGTTGAGGAGACAACTAGGTAAATTTACCCACCCTACCCAATCACGCAAACATCATCTACATTTGCTAGGCAGGAAGTAGGATGGTTGGGAATGAAGACGCAAAACACTTTCCCGTGAGTATCTACCTATTCTGAACAGCTCCTATTTATCATTCTTGAATTTTTTAAACCTGTCAGCTCTACTAAAAATAGAACAGCAGGTTTACCAAGTCTAATATCTACCTGTGGGTACAAGCAGCCAGAGAAAATTTCACTTAAGGGCTGCGATAGCTTTTTTCACTCAATGACTACTTTGTTCCCCCAAATCCAGTCAGTTGCAAACTAAAAGGGAAGGTTGAAGACTCAAGGGAAAGTGAGAGGTACACCGGCCAATAAAGTTAGCTCCACTTTTTAAATAGTAGTTCTTTTTGCCTGAAAGAAAAAAAAGACATTCCAAACTCTAAGGAAAGAGCTATACCTTACCATTCTTAAAAATCTTCCTCAAAATCTTCCCAGAAAGAATGAAATGAGAATTTTAATGCTAGTCATTTCTCCTATCTTTGAAAGATATCTGAAAGTATTTTGAAAAATGTGAAAATACTTGAAAAATACTAAGATCATTTTAAAAATATTTTTTAAAATAGATATACAGTTTACGTAAATGCACAGATCTTAAGAGTACAATCATATTGTTTATACCTATTGTAGCCCATACTTCTGTCAACGGAGCATTTCCATCACCCTGAAAATTCCCCAGTCCATCTTTAAGCAATCACCTTTGGTTCTACCATTTCTAGATTGCCTAATTGTCCTAAGGCATAATTTAACTCTTTTATTGTTAAAAAATTACGAAGTGTTTTGTCAGAAAATACCTTTTTATCAATGACATTAAGGTAAAATATGTTTCTAAGGGGCCACTTCCTGAAGGCATAAACATCTACATTATTTTCCACTTTGGTTGCTTTAAATAACTCTCCCTGTTGACTTTAGGATATGGAAAGCCGGTTGTGTCAAATATAAACAAGCATTATCTAAGTCCTAAATGTCTAGGCCAATATTTCCTCCCAGTTCCTGTGGAGTTCACCTCTTTCTGGCTGGACCTGAACATTCTTTACATGGGGGCAGGGGTGTCATTTTTATTCCCTTCCCTTTTTCTTCTGAGAACAATCATATTTCATATAAGAAGGGGGCTTCAAAAGATAAGTCTATAGAGTAGTTGGAAGGGAAATGATTTAGGAAAACATGTAAGTTCTATTTAAGGCTTAAACAATTCTGCCCAATAAGGCAGAACAACATCCATGATTTTCATCAAAGTAGAGTTTCTAAAGCCAAATATGGTGCTACACATCTATAATCCCAGCACTCAGGAGGCTGAGACAAAGAGAATCTCAAATTGGAATCTAACCTGGACTACATAGCTATACAGCAAGAGTCGATCTCAAAAACAAAGGAAGGGAAGAAGGAAGAGGGAGGGAGGAAGGAAGTGGGGAGAGAAGGAAGGGAGAGTTAGTTTGTTGTAGGACTTCTGGAAACATCATTCAGCAGTGTCTTTGAAAAGAGCCATGAGCTATTTACAGGCCCCCAAATTACTAAATGACTCTACTAAGGCTTTGTCATAATTTCAGTTTGAAAAATATAAACAAAGAGGAAATCAAACCTGCAAAATGGCCTTTCTGATGAATCAAAGCCTTAAGCTTTGTCAGGTTATTATTCCCTAGTGAGAAAATCACCCATGGGGACATGTTCACCTCAGAAAACCCCCAGTTCTGAGGGAGGCTTTGAGTGGCATGCCCCTTTGAAAGTTCAGTGTGGGAAGCACTAAGCTTTGTCTTGTTGCATCCTGAAGCACCTGCTTCACAAGTCCACACTTGGCCCAAATGCCCACAAGTTGCCCCTACTCATGAAATAAGGCTGTATTCCATACTAGCCTACCACCTAGCATGATACTGCATGCATCTTCTGACAAATTAATCCAAACACTGATCACCTCTCACATGTCAAGTCACTATTTTATCTACTCTACGAATCACCTTCTTCATCCTCAATGAGAATGCCTACCTTTCAATTCCTTGCTCATTTGTCAATCCTGTTATTTTGACACTCTAGTCACATTATGGGATTTTAATTGTTCTCTTAGGTATCTATGTCTTACCTTCCCTGATTAGACTAAGTCTATCTCAATGCCTACATTCTGTTTAATAAAACCTCTGAATATTCATAAACACAATTTCTTTCAGAATGTAAGCACTGGAATATTTGATGAGTTCCACAGCTATGCAAAATCTCATAAATACTTTTAAACTTGCAAATTGGCTACTTGTATATGGTTGCAACCTAGTGTGTGGATGATTCAAATCTAATCACTTTCTCTTCTAAATATGGCTTCCCTTGCTGTAATATGAATGTTTTACTATTTCTATACAATGGGGAATCAGAAGTATACAAGCCTAAGTTATTTGGAAAAAAGTTTAAAGAAATTTGAGCTCTTTGGATGATCAAATTCCAATATGGATTTTACAAGGTTCCCTTTTTTGAAAAGGGATAAGAAGAGCTCTCCCAAAGCAAGGCAGAATCTTAATGGGAAAGAATGAAGGCCTGTCTGTATAACCTAACCAATCAGCTTCTTAATGAACTTGACTTCTCATGAGTAAAAATGAAAGAAGATGAACTATCCATCCACGCAGAGGTTATATTTCTGTGTGAAAGTTTTGAAGCATTCAAGGGTGTATGTAACACTAATTCAGTGAGGCAAATCTCCTTTTATGGGCATAAGAAAGAGAATGCAGGCATATTTTGAACATGCAAGTTATCATCTTTGCAAACCACAAAGCTAGGTTAGGCTTTAGCTCAGAGGTTGCAATCCTCTCATATACCATATTTTAATCAGTTTGATCATGCATATATGGCCCTGTATGTGTTTTCATATGTTTATATTTTAGATATAACTTCTGCACATCTATATATGTGGACACACACACCCTGAAACCCTTTTTACAACTATTTAATGATAATTTTTTAATGATTTAAAAAAGCAAAAATAACAATGGGAACCACAGAGGATACACTATGCATGTACAAAGAAAGAAACTGAAATCAGAAAATCTGTATTTGGGAAAATAGCCTTGCCCTGAATCATGATGTTGTGTGGATAAATAACAAATTATTGTATACTTTGGTATGTTAAGCTGAAAGTGGATATCAAGATGAAGGTACGTCATTTTTTTTTTATGTTTCTCTACTTGATTCAATTGCTTCATTTTGTTTATAAACTAGCAATAAATTCGAAATCTTTCTAAAAGTTGTCTGAGGACAAAAAATGCAGGTACACTTTTGTGTATATACCTTTGCAACATTATAAAGAGAGGTCTACCAATTAATCAACAAGAACATACATATATGTATATAAACATGTTTCATTTTTGCATATAGAGCATGTTTCATTCCTTTTTTTTGGGGGGGGGGGGGTCCGGTTGTGGGCCTGAACTCTGGGCCTGGGCGCTGTCCCTCAGCTCTTCAGCTCAAGGCTAGCACTCTACCACTTGAGCCACAGCGCCACTGCTGGCTTTTCTTTTTCTGCTTATGTGGTGCTGAGGAATTGAACCCAAAGCCTCATGCATGCAAGGCAAGCGCTCTACCACTGAGCCACCTTCCCAGCCCTGCATGTTTCATTCTTATTGTTTAATACATTGACCTGATTGAATTGAACACTTCTACTGTGTTCTTATCTTGATATTGTGATGATTCCCCCCAAAAGAAAGAATATAAAATGTGAAATTGTTAGGACCAGGTAAAAATTAAGCAGATAAGGCATTGATTAGACCAAGGAAGAAGGAAATTTAACTGACACAAACAAGTCCCAGGTAACCAGAGAAACATAGGTACAGACCCTGGGAATAGAACAAGGCTGCGTTCTAATAGTTACTGAAACTTGACCATTTGTAGGGCCAAATGTTTAAAGATAAAGGGTTGAATAAAGCAGAGAATTAAGCACCAAGGATGGCTGAGCTAGGCAACTGCATTTCTAAGGATGACTTATCTCACCACTGGGCCATTTGGAGAACTAATCAATGCTTTTTGCTATTTGGGGAGGTAATGTTTTCCTAAAGCTGAAGCAGAGCCCTCCTAGCTCATAACCATTGAGCCAGGTATCTGGACTTCAAAGGAAGGCTTGCCCCACCTCCAGGCCTTGGAGCTTGGTGCACAGCCCCCATCTCCTGCCTAGGCACCAGGATGTCTTCAGGGAATTGTTTGGTCTCAGCCACCGTACTTTGCTTTGATGCCATTTGTAATAACCAACTGCTAGTTTTGCTTTTGTAACTGTCTTCCTGACCACCTGTGAGTGGCACCTCCCTCCCCCCACCATGTATCTTGCCTTTAAATATGCGGAGCTATTTGATTTCAGGGCTGGCCTTCACTATCTCAACAGTGGAGGTCAGACGCCATGGCTATTAAAGGACTCCTAGCTCTATTGACTGAGTGTTAGTGACTCCTTTTGCTGATCGTGAGTTGGAGGTCCCACTAGTCCAGGGATGCTGGGATATTTCAGATATGTCCCTGTATTGTTAAAGGCTTTTGCTTAATTGAGGTTTCTGCTTATTTTGCTTTTAGTTCTTCAACAGAATTTAAAAAGAGCTACCTACTAGCACAAATACAATACTTATCCCAAAGAAAGCATAGTCTTTTATACAGCAACAATGGCCCAATACCTGCAACATTGCAAGTACACAGGAACAAAAGGAAATTCTTTCTTATTGTTTTAAAGGCAACCTTACATTTTATGCAAGTATCAACTCTCTATGGATGTATGCCCTTTTTCCTATTGAGGCAAATCCAGGATGCAGTTTACCATTCAGCTGGAACTGAGTGGAAAGGAACCTTGAATTGCAGGTGGAGCTGAAGCCCTATCCTCCTCCTCCCATAGTCTGAGTATGCTCATAGGTCTACAAAGACTTCTCCTTGAGTAACCCATACCCATTCTCCCTATGGCCAATAGGTGGGCAAAATCACATTAATCATTTTTCTTGGCTTTATTTGTATTCTTTTTTTTGGGGGGGGGGGGTCCGGTCGTGGGGCCTGAACTCTGGGCCTGGGCGCTGTCCCTCAGCTCTTCAGCTCAAGGCTAGTGCTCTACCACTTGAGCCACAGTGCCACTTCCGGCTTTTTTCTTTTGGCTTATGTGGTGCTGAGGAATCAAACCCAGGGACTCATGCATGCAAGGCAAGCGCTCTACCACTGAGCCACCTTCCCAGCCCCTTTATTTGTATTCTTAAAGCAGCATGAAAACAGTAAAGGATCTACTTTCAACTCTTGTTCCCTTTCAGTTTTTGTTATGTGGACATAGCTATATTTTACATGATTATATCCTAGCATATGTAATTGTGTTCTGATATGTTCGTTTATTTTACCAAAAAAATCCTGTTCTAATATTTCCATTTATTCATTTACTTATTTGGTAAGTATTTATTAAAGTGCTCACTAGGTTTCAGGCACTATACCAGGTACCATAAATAAAAAGATAGACAAAAACCAAGCCCCTACCATTAAAAAGCTCTCAGCTTACTAGACTATAACTGATAATTGTAATGCAAAACATCATAACAAATAGTTTGCTGGGCTTGATGAAACAACTTAATAGTCAAAATTATTTTTCATTATCACAAGCACTGCTGCAATTAACACATTTTTCATGTATTAAAAAAAATGTTAACCATTTTCTTTTTTTTTTTTTGTCAGTCGTGAGGACTAAACTGTGGGCCTGGGCACTGTCCCTCAGCTATTCAGTTCAAGGTTAGCACCCTACCACTTGAGCCACAGCACCACTTCTGGCATTTTCTGCTTTTGTGTTGCTGAAGAATCGAACCCAGGGTCTCATGCATGCAAGGCAAGCACTCTACCACTGAGCCACCTTCCAAGTCCCTGTTAACCATTTTCTACAGATAAATTCTTAGGAATAAGATCGAGTCAGATTGTTACATGGATTTTTTATAGCTTTTTGATGTACCTTGCTAAATACCTTCCTCTAAGGATCATACAGATATATAAATTCATTGGTTAATCTCACCAATGGTATAACCATTAAATGCTTTCTTAGATTTTGATAAGTAGAAGCTTATTACTATCTTAATTTGGACTTTTTAAATGAGTAACAGAATGGAACATTTCCACATGGTTAAGATAATCCTCCCCCTCCCCCCTTGGGAATGTATGTTTATGGCCAATTTATCTATTATTTACCATTATTATGGGAGCTTCTGGTCACTGTAGATACCCAGAGTTTTATCATTAAAGCAAAAAGAGAAAGCTGGTAACACTAGGTTGTAATTTCTGAGGTACTTAAGTGTGCCATGTTAGAAAGAAAATAGTTTCAAATAGTCCCACATCTGACCGCACATGATAAGAAGTCATTCCTCTGCTGGAGCCCATTTCCTTCATTTCTAGAGTTTCTAACATCCGATGTCAAGGCCAGTGGGTGGGCCTGTGCATCTGCAGCAGGGGCTCCTCAGGGCTGGGTGCACAGATATGTCTGCTGGCCACATGAGGCACTAATGCTGCCCGTCCACTTGCTTACCTCTCCTACCACCTCTATGATGTCCCCGACTTTCAGCTCAAGCTCATCATCATTCTGGGGCAGGTAGCTGAATGCCACCTGGCATCGGCGCCTCCGTCGTTCACCTGGATGGGAAAAGTAAAATGTTTAGCTACAGCTCTTCCAAACTAAGGTTTTAAAGAGAGGCTTTTCCTAGGCATGCAGGCAAATTAAGCTGTCTTGTCTCAAATATGCTCTCTGGGACATGGCTAGAGGCATGGCAGCCCTGGTCTCTTACAGAAGGCATTAGAAAGCAGAGCAATGCTTCTTGGTCTTTCAAAAGCTGCTGGGTCAGAAAGGCATGGATATGAGAAACCGATCCATTGGTGCAGAAGGCAAAAACCCCCACCCCTCAAGCACTGGAGCACATTGTTGCCTTAAATGGTTTTTCCATGGATAGGGTGTTATATTCGCTGCTGTTGATTTTTAATGCAAGCTGATGTGATGTGGTAGAGAAACAAGAATGGTCTGCTTCAAATGCTAGCAAGCAGAAGGCTTTTCCCCTAAATGTGCAAAAGAAAAGATAAAGTATCCTGGCCTTTTTCTCACTAATCATCATCCTTTCAACATGCTAGAACTCAGGCCTGAGAAGTAAAAGCCGATTTGATTTTAGCTTGTTCTTGGTACCATTTCACACACTCCACAGGGTTCAACAAATCCACTTCTGTCCTCTTCCCTGGGGCTCAGAGGATCTATTAACAAGATTCCTGGCTGTTTATAACAGACTCAACCAGGCAAATCTAAACAAAAGCCAGGGCCACGCATTTGACTTGACCGAAGTACATTCTAAGATAGTTACCCCATCTCACTCACCCAAAATGGTCTACCTGTGAGTGTATCTGACATCACTGTCCAGCACAGACATCACTGTCCAGTATATGGGCATTGTGGGAGAAAGAACATGCATGTGGAATATGCACAACGGAGAGACAGACAGACACACAGACATGCAGGCAGTGGTGGCTGAGGCCAGGGAGAGGTGGACAGATGCCACGTAGTGTGACGGATATTGCTCAGAAGGTAGTTCATCACCACTGACCTCCTCCACGCTGCCACATGGCCTAAAAAACCAAAAGGATCAACAACTTCAAAGAAACACATTTAGAAACTCTGAAAGTATTTTGGGGTACTGCCTTCAGGGATTTCTTGTTCTACTTTTCTAATCTTTTCCATGAGAAAGGAAGTCCCTACAGGGGTGATCACAGGGTACATGCAGGCCTCACACAGCATGGCATCACACAAGGGGAAAAGTGTGCTATAACGATATGCTTCCTGATCAATATTTTTCAAAAGCCAGTGGCCTAGTTCTCTCTGCTTCATTTTTCTCTAAGGAAGAATGGGATTGAACACAGGGAACAGGGCAGTTCAGAATCGATACTTTGTCTGATCATATCTTTGGCAACCACATAAATGATTCCTGCCCCTTAGCACAAAGTCATAAGCTGCCAGTTCTTAGGAAGAACACATGCAGAGCTCTCAGACCCATCTCAGATAGGCACTGCAGCCAGTTAGTAGGCTGAGTAGTTTAGCCTGGCTCTCTCAGTGCCAGAAGACACATCCCACCTTGCCTTTCCAGAGAGTGGTAATCCAGTATAAAGAATGTTACTATGAAAGCCAAGCATGATGCCCATGCCCATAATCCCAGCACTCAGAAGACTAAGGCAGGAAGATTGTAAATTGCAGGCCAGCTCAGGCTACATAGTGAGTTGGAGCCTAGCCTGGGCTATATAGTGAGATGTTTTAAAAAACAAACTAACAACCAAGATCAATGTCACTGCTCCATAGCTTCTGACACCACAGAGGGGGGAAATCAAGTCCTCTGAACCTCAGACAATCCACACTTCTCATTCTAGAAAAAAAAATCTAGGTGGCAAAGCAATCTTGGTAGCTTCTCCCAATTTGCATATATTTGCACATATGTATATATACATATACATATGTTTGTATGTAGATATATATACATACACATACACGTGTGTACCTTAATATGAAGTTCTATAACTCTTTAAGAGCTTTCATTTTTCTACATTTTAGGTTAAAATGAATTCTGCAAGCACAAACAGAACATGAAAAACTGAAATAACAAATATCTGACAAGTGATGCTTACAACCACAGAAGGCACCAAAGTCCTGATTGAAGGAACTTAAAAAATAACATCTCAAGATTCAGTGATTGCTAAAATCATAAAATATATGTATATATGTAAATTCATACCTTAAAAAAGACCCTCTGGGCTAGGTGCCCATAGCTCATGCCTATAATACTAGTGACTTAGGAGGCTGAGATCTGAGGATCACAGTTCAAAGCCAGCCAGGCAGGAAAGTCCGTGAAACTCTCATCACCAATTAACTACCAAAAGCCACAAAGGAGCTAGCTCAAGTGGTACAGCACTTAAGCAAAAAGGCTAAGGGCCAGCACCCAGGTCCTGAGTTCAAGTCTCAGTACCAGCACAAAAGAAAAAAAAAGTCCTTTTGTAGGACAGTAGCTAGCAACTATAACAACAACAAAAACCAGTAGCTAACCCAATACTGCACAAATGGCAAAGGCAATAGTGATATATTCTTAAAGATTAACCCAGGACAGAATCATCAGCTCTCTTTCTATCTCCCTCTGTCTCTCCCTTTGTCTTTCTCTCCCTCTCTCTCTCTCTCTCCCTCTCCCTCTCCCTCCCTCCCCCCCTCTCTCTCTATCTCTCTGTCATGCGGCTTGAACCCTGGGCCTGAATGCTGTCCCTGATCTTCAGCTAAAGGCTAAGGCTATACCACTTGAGCCATAGCTCCAGTTCCGGTTTTCTGAGTGGTTTATTGGAGATAAGAGTCTCACTTTCTCTGCAGCCAATTAAGCCGACCAGGTTCCTTTTCTCATGGGGACGTGGTATGCACTGGTTGCAAACAGCAACCTCCTTGGTAGTGTATGCAGCCTGTTGCTTGTATGGGTTGCCCTAAGGGACCTTGGAGACAGTTTTCCAGTGTATTTTCATGACTCTGACTTTATACTGTCCCCCTACCTAGGCTCCAGACAGGTATGCGGGGTGCCTTTGGGAAACCCCAGGGCACTGTGGCCAGGGTTCACATTGGCCAGGTAATCATGTCCATCCGCACCAAGCTGCAGAATAAAGAACATGTAATTGAGGCCTTACGCAGGGCCAAGTTCAAGTTTCCTGGTCGTCAGAAAATCCACATCTCCAAGAAATGGGGCTTTACCAAGTTCAACGTGGGTGAGTTTGAAGACATGGTAGCTGAGAAGCGCCTCATTCCTGATGGCTGTGGAGTCAAATACATCCCGAATCGTGGTCCTCTGGATAAGTGGAGAGCCCTGCACTCATGAAGGCCTCCATCCACTGAGCTATATCACCCCCACTTCAATCATGTTCCCCAATAAAACTTGCATTATGTCTAAAAAAAAAAAAAAAGAGTCTCACTTTCCTGCCTGGGCTGGCTTTGAACCGAGATCCTTCAGATCTCAGCCTCCTGAATGGCTAGGATGACAGACATGAGCCACCAGCACCTGGCATCATCAGCTTTCTCTAAAACTCCATCTCTACTTTGTACTTCCATTAAAAAGAATCCAGTAAGCTAATCAATACTTCTTAAAAGTTTCTGAGGTTAGTTAACTGGTGGCATGAAGCCATATAAAAACCAAAGGACGCCTTGTGGCTCACAACTATAATCCTAGCTATTCAGGAGGCTGAGAGTTGAGGATCTCCATTCAAAGCTAGCCCGGGCAGGAAAGTCTGTGAGACACTTACCCTTACTTATATCCATTAAAAGCTACTCAACAAAAAAGCCAGAAGTGGCACTGTGGCTCAAGTGGTAGAGCAATCACCTGGAGCAAAGAGAAGCTCAGGACAGCAGCCAGGCCCAGAGTTCAAGCCCCAGGACTAGCAAAAAACAAAACAAAACAAAAAAAACACTGCCAAAATACTAAGAGAAGCTTTAGAGAGCACAAGGAAGAGACTCAGAGGCAGCTGATGATAAAGATCATCTGATCTTGACCCCAAGCAGAGTCATCTCATTACACAGGGATAGCTCATGATCATTTCTAAACATTTATGATACCTATCACTGTATGTCATCCAGTCAACCATGTAAATTAAAAGAAAAAGAGCCAGAATGAACAACCATTTTGCAAATGAGGAAATCAGAGCTCAGTAATTTACCCAAGATTATCACCAAGCTAAGCAGCAGTATTCCCTTGGCTTGAGTTCAGAGTGTTTTCATCAGTCATAGATGACCAATTCAGTTTGCATCTAGTTCTGAATTCTCTGCAATCTGTGTTAACTGCTTCCTGCAATACTGTGTAACATCAGCTCAAGTCTTCACCATTACAGAGACTCCCCCCAGTTTAAAAAAAAAACTACTGCTTTTCCACCACACTGACTTAAACAGTGTGCCAAGTTTGTGAACTTGGGGCCCAGGAAGAAATTGTAGTTCAGTTGCATACATCCATCTTAATTATAAAGTAGTAAGTAGAGAGCCTAGAATTTCAAATCAGATGACACAACTCTGAAGACTGCCTCCTATACATCTGTTTATTCTTAAGTATTCTCAGCTGGTGGGGAGAGGGAGGAGTTGGGGAGGTGGGGAGGAAAGGGACAGTAGGGGAAAAATAAAGGAGGGGGTAACAATGCTCGGTAGGAAATGTAGTCATTACCTTACTCATGTAACTGTAACCCCTCTGTACAATAAAAAATTATTTAAAATAAAAAAATAATTAAAAAAGAATTCTCAGCTCGTCTTGATAACTCAGAAAGGACTGAAATAACACAGTACATTGTTAATAGGTAAAAGTATAAAAACGCAAATAAGAAACAGCCCTACTGCTTCAGGGAACTGGGGCCCATCAGCTCCCATTTTAATGAAATAAAGCCAGTTGATGGAGAGGCGATGCAGTACACTCACCTTTTCTGAGAATGATATCACAGAAACTGAAAAGCACACCATGACTCAGTTCCAGAAATAAAAGATACATGTTGACATTTCAGAGCCTTTAATTTAGGGTCTCATGGCATGTGAAAATTTTACTAGCACAATTCATTCAATGACCACAAAAATATAACAACACAATGGGTGAAAAAAGTCTTTG